ACCACTCACTAGTGGACTATGAAATCACTTCTTGAATCAGCATCGCTTTAGCACTCGGCTATACGTTTCAAACTATTCTATAATTAGTATTAACGTTTTAGTCTGGACTCATTTAGATAGCTTAGTGTCCCATTCTCTACTGTCATTTTTGTATTATATTGAAACAGATAGCGTAATCAGATATTTGTGACTATAAGAACCTATTTGTCGATCACCTCCTGCTGTTTCTTACCATTCTTGAAACTATTGATTCACTGCATTTTGGTCTGTTTGGGCAGAAAATGGCTGGTGACGATTTGGTGTTCAGTGTTAATGGAGAGAAATTTGAAGTCTTATCGGTCAATCCTTCTACGACTTTACTGGAGTTCTTGCGTTCCAACACTCCCTTTAAGAGTGTCAAGCTCAGCTGCGGCGAAGGTACACACACAAACTGTAATTTTTCCAGTGATATCCTTTTGTCGTTTTATTGAGTTTGTATGTACTTCTCTGTTTGAATCTAGAACTCATATCTAGAAAGCGTCTCAAGCCTTACTTATGTATGGATATTCTTTGGTTTCGAGTGTTTGGAGGTTTAAACTCTTTTGTCTCCACCAAAAGAAAAAAAAAGTCATGATTATTGTTTGTTACAGTAAACGATCACATAAGTCTATGCCTATTTGCTCCTTCATTTTCAGGTATCAATCCTTGTGTCATTAAATTTTGGTCTTATGCCACACCTATATTCCTATACCCGAATTTAAAAAAATTTAAATTCATTAAAAATTTAAAATACATGTCAGAGGAGTCTCTAATTAACTGAGATGAGGCTTGGAACTTGGTTTTTTCCATGTTACACTTCTTAGAACCAAAATTTTATGATCTATTTTGATGCCTGCCCTGCATTTCAGACACTGCGATGCTACTATAAATAGATGTGTGTGTGTGTTTCTCTCACCGACTTGGTTATTTTTTTCATGCAGGGGGTTGTGGTGCTTGCATCGTAATTCTATCAAAATATGATCCTGTGTTGGACAAAGTGGAGGAATACTCTATAAACTCTTGTCTGACCCTTCTTTGCAGCATAAATGAGTGTTCCATAACCACATCCGAGGGACTTGGAAACACTGAAAAAGGGTTTCACCCAATTCACAAGAGATTTGCGGGGTTCCATGCCTCTCAATGTGGTTTCTGTACCCCGGGGATGTGCATCTCACTCTACTCCGCTCTTTCAAACGCCCACAACTCCAAAAACTCGCACTCTTCTCCGGAGTACCTGAGTGCTTCTGCAGCAGAGAAGTCTATTGCTGGAAATCTTTGTCGTTGCACCGGTTATCGTCCCATAGCTGATGCTTGTAAGAGTTTTGCTGCAGATGTCGATATAGAGGATTTGGGTTTGAACTCTTTCTGGAGGAAAGGAGAAAGCAGAGAAGAGATGTTAAAGAAATTGCCTCCTTACAACCCTGATAAAGATCTTGTCACTTTTCCGGACTTCTTGAAGGAAAAGATAAAGCGTCAACATAATGTTTTGGATCAGACAAGGTATCATTGGAGCACTCCTGTTAGTGTCGCAGAGCTTCAGCAAATATTGGCAATAACTAACCCTGGTGGTGATAGAGGTCTGATGAAAATAGTTGTTGGCAACACGGGAACAGGTTACTACAAAGAAGAGAAACAATATGGCAGATATATTGATATTAGCCACATTCCGGAGATGTCAATGATCAAGAAAGATGACAGAGGAATTGAAATTGGAGCAGTTGTTACCATATCTAAAGTTATCGATGCTTTGATGGAGGAAAGTACGTCTGCTTATGTCTTCAAGAAAATAGGTATTCATATGGAGAAGGTGGCTAACCATTTTATCAGAAACTCAGGGAGTATCGGTGGTAATCTAGTGATGGCACAGAGCAAAAACTTTCCTTCTGACATAACCACACTTTTGCTCGCTGCAGATGCATCTGTGAATATGATAAATGCAGGGAGACACGAGAAGCTTAGGATGGGAGAGTTTCTTGTGTCGCCACCAATAATAAACACTAAAACCGTCCTTTTAAAGGTTCACATTCCTATTTGGGCTACTTCTTCTACTACTGGTTTGCTTTTTGAAACCTATCGAGCTGCACCTCGCCCTATTGGAAGTGCATTGCCTTATCTCAACGCTGCTTTCTTAGCAGTAGTCTCTCAGGATGCATCATCAAGAGGCATCATGGTGGATAAATGCCGGTTAGCATTTGGTTCTTTTGGTGGTTACCATTCAATCAGGGCGAGGGAAGTTGAGGATTTCTTGACGGATAAATTACTCAGCCGCAGTGTCTTATATGAAGCTGTGAGGTTACTTAAAGGGATCATAGTACCCAGCATAGATACCTCATACGCTGAGTACAAGAAAAGCTTGGCGGTTGGATTTCTCTTTGATTTTCTCTATCCTCTGATCGAGAGCTGCAGCTGGGATTTAGAAAGAAAACATGTCGATGGGCATGTCGATCCGACAATATCCCTGCCTTTGCTGTCATCTGCACAGCAGGTGCTTGAAAGTAAAGAATTTCACCCTGTTGGTGAAGCCGTTATCAAATTTGGAGCTGAATTGCAGGCTTCTGGTTAGTACTATATATTGTTCCATAAATCTTTTTTTAATAACTTGATTTTTGTCTAACTGTGATTCAAAGACTCGAACAGAAATGCTTTTAGATCTTTGGTCACTATGTTTATTTTAGACTTACATGATGGTCTTGTCTTGCCAGGTGAAGCTGTTTACGTTGACGATATTCCATCTTTACCCAATTGTCTACACGGAGCATTCATTTACAGCACAAAGCCATTGGCTAGGATAAAGAGCGTTGGTTTCAAAGGAAATGTGGCACCAATCGGAGTGTTGGCAGTTATTACTTACAAGGATATTCCTCAAGTGGGGCACAACATTGGTTACATATCTATGTTTGGCACAGGGCTTCTATTTGCAGATGAAGTTACTATATGTGCCGGACAGATAATTGCTCTTGTGGTAAGTCCAATTTCTAGCATCTTCTTTTGTGATAGAATAATAGTTCCAAACAGAATAAGAAAACCAGAATACCTTTATTTGCATAATAAATGAAATTCAAATATTCCACATAAGAGATTGACTCTTTCCTCTTAGCTAAGCTGATAATATGAAAACTAATCTCTTCTTTCGATATGGGGGCTAAATTGATAGATTAATTTTTAGTATTTTGCAGTTTGCTTAAATAAGCTTCATGAGTTACACATTAACCATTCCTTATCAATCCACCTAGGCACCTACCAAATAATTATTGTATCTCTATCATCTTTCTCGTCATTCTTAAAGATATTAAGTCCATTTTTGGTGACCTCTCAGGTTGCTGACACACAGAAACATGCAAATTTGGCTGCAAAACTTGCAGTAGTTGAGTACGATTTAAGGAATATAGAAACACCAGTATTATCTGTGGAGGATGCTGTCAAAAGGTCCAGCCTTTTTGAGGTTCCTCCCGAGTATTACCCCGAACCTGTTGGCGATATTTCAAAAGGAATGGCTGAAGCTGATCGCAAGATACGCTCAGTAGAGGTATTGGAACTCTCTTTCTCTCTCTTGATCTCGATGTATTCAGAAAAAGTTCCTTGATACATTCTTACACTCATGTATGCTGCTGAATTCGGTTATGCAGTTGAGACTCGGGTCACAGTACTTCTTCTATATGGAGACACAAACAGCACTTGCCTTGCCAGACGAAGACAACTATATAGTGGTTTACAGTGCAACTCAATCACCCGAGTACACACAATCAGTAATTGCTACATGTCTTGGCATCCCAGACCATAGCGTGCGAGTCATTACAAGAAGGCTTGGAGGTGGCTTTGGTGGAAAAGCTATAAAGTCGATGCCTGTAAGTACTACTTTTCGTCTCTGATAAAAAGTCATTATGATAGTAACAACAGAGACATTTTCTATTGTAATCTGATATTAATACTGTTGAAAATGATTTCAGGTTGCAACAGCATGTGCACTTGCTGCACAAAAGTTGCAGCGTCCTGTAAGGATATACGTCAACCGTAAGACTGATATGATAATGGCTGGAGGAAGACATCCCATGAAAATAACTTACAGTGTTGGTTTCACATCTGACGGTAAACTCACAGCACTAGAGCTAACTCTGTTCATAGATGCAGGGATAGATGTGGACGTAAGTCCAATGTTGCCACAAAATATAATGAATTCCTTGAAGAAATACGACTGGGGTGCATTGTCATTTGACATTAAAGTGTGTAAGACAAATCTTCCGAGCAGAACGTCTTTGAGGGCACCAGGTGAGGTACAAGGTTCATATATAGCTGAATCCATTATTGAGAATGTAGCTTCTTCTCTGAACATGGATGTGGATGTTGTGAGAAGGATAAATCTGCATACTTACGAAAGCCTCAGAAAGTTCTATAAGCAAGTTGCTGGTGAGCCTGATGAATATACATTGCCTTTGTTATGGGACAAATTGGAGATATCTGCAGATTTCAAGCGAAGGGCTGAATCGATCAAACAGTTTAACCTTAGTAACGTATGGCGCAAAAGGGGGATTTCTCGAGTACCCATCATCCATCAAGTTATGAATAGGCCAACTCCAGGAATAGTTAGCATTTTGAGCGATGGTTCGGTTGTGGTCGAGATTGCAGGTATTGAGATGGGGCAAGGGTTATTGACAAAGGTACAACAGATGGTTGCTTATGGTCTTGGTTTAATCAAAGCCGAGGGAAGCCAAGATCTGCTTGAGAGAATACGGCTTATTCAGACTGACACACTCAGTATTGTTCAAAGCAGTTACACTGCAGGTAGCACAACATCGGAGAACTGTTGTGAAGCAGTTAGGCTTTGCTGTGGTATCTTGGTGGAGAGGCTGAAACCTACCATGAACCGAATTCTGGAGAATGCTCGGTCCGTGACATGGGACACGCTCATTCAAGAGGTATAATGTTTAATTATCGATCATTCTCATCATACTAATCGAGTTTTAAAGAAAGATCCGGCCACATTAATCTTGTTTTCCATCTGTGAAAACTGTAGGCTAATGCTCAATCTGTGGACCTATCAGCTCGTACCTTTTATAAACCAGAGTCCTCTTCCTCAGAATACCTCAACTATGGAGTTGGAGCCAGTGAGGTGAATCTCATAGCCAATAGTGTTAACCATTCCCTTAAATCAAAATCAGT